CAGTGGCCGGGATCAGTCATGGGTTGAGCCTTGGGCTGTTGCAGGAAGATGGGCCATCGTGTTGTCTGGACCCAGCTGCTTTAGCAAATCATGGTTTGTTGCTTTGTTTCAAACAAAGCCTGAAGAAGACTCATGGTTTATTGTTGGGGTGTGAACCCTGGTCTGCTGATCATAATTTGATTGTAACTGGATCCTGAGAACCGGTGTGGTGTAGTGGTTAAGAGTGCAGGACTGGGACTCAGGCGACCCGGGTTCTGGTCCCTGCTCAGCCATGGAGCCATCTGGGTGACTTTGGGCCAGTCACAGACTCTCACCCCAACCTACCTCACAGGGTTGCTGTTGAGGATAAGAGTGAGAGTAGGAAGAGAATTATAGCCCTAACCCTCAAGTTCTTTAAAAGCAAAGGTGAGCTCTGAATCTAATGAAAGGGAGAGAGAGATATACCCCATGAAGTCAAAGCAGGGAGCCTGTAGCCCTCCACATATTCTCAGAGTCCACTTCCCATCAGCCCCAGGCAGCATATCCAGCTGTTGGGTTGTGTGCTGGGCACTTTAGCCCTGCACATCTGGCTCAGCATCTGTGTCCTGTACATATGATGGGAACAACCAGATGCTTCTTCCCTTGATCCGAACAGAAAGGGTGGAACTTGTTGAGAGTAATTCTAGCTGTATAACCAGGAGTATTTCTCTCCCTCCCAGTGTTCAGCACTTTCTAAACTCAACGCAGAAGTTGCCTGCATTGCAGTCCATGACGAAAACATCTTCGTTGTTGGGACGGAGAAGGGGAAGCTCTTCCTGAACGCGAGGAAAGAGGTCCAGGCGGACTTCAAGAAATTCTGCAGTAAGTCTTTGGTTCTTCCCTTCCCGCAAGACTAGGGCTCCGCGAAAAGGACAGCACAGTGTCAGAGCCAGCTGAAGGATCCGCTCAAGGCCAACCCGGACGGAAGGGCTACAGATCCATTTCTTCACCATTCCGTCTTGTAGACCGTGTGGGCGCAGGTCAAACTTGCTGGATCTTTTTTGGTGTTCCCTTCCGTTACCCAGAAACCTGAGGTCCGCCAACCAGAGCCAGATGCAGACGGATGCTTTGGAGGCAGACCTACCCTAAGAATGAAGGAGGGGCCGCTTCTCAGTGTCTGAGCAGCCCCCACGTTGATTTTGGGTTGGTCAGCCATGTTAGATCTTGGTTTAACTTGGGGTTCTTTAATCCACAAACAACCCCACATGCCTGAGTTCAGAAGTCATGGACACAGCCCATGATTACTACGTTCATGGATGGTTACACAAAAGCAGGAGTGGCTTGCAGGTAGGATGCGTCCCTGCCATTGCTGGGTTGAATCAGTCCGCAGTCGCTGCCCTCAGATGGGACTGAGGGGCTTGGAAGCAAACGTTTCCAAGTCGGAGCCCCCAACGCCTCCACCCAGTGGTGGCAACAAGACTGAGCAGGGCCATATTCACAGTGTGCCTTTACTTACGAGGAGGCCTTATCCCTCAGCTGGACAACTCTGCATCTAGCAATCAGATCTGTGTCTGACTCCCTTGTCATGGTCAGATCCCTTCCTCGTGAGGTTTGAGCTCGATGGCAGCCTTTTCCTCTGTAAGGGTGCGGACCCGATTGTGTTGGTCCGCCCTTGGAGCCGGATGGATTCCTGAAGGCTCTGGGGGATTTTCCGGTTGATAAAGCTGGCGCTCCTGTTGATGCTCTGGTTGAACTGTGGAATGGGGAGATGGTCAGAGCTATTGACACGATCACTCCTCAGCATCCTCTCCTGCCCGGCAGAGCCCGTCCATCCCCCTGGTATACACCTGAATTACGGGCGATGAAGTGGGTTGGGAGATGACTAGAGCGTAGGTGGGAGAAATCACGGGATGAATCTGACCAAACACGCCTATTATCAGGCCTATGCTGTGGCGGTGAGGGCGGCAAAAAAGAAATTCTTCTCCGCTTCCATTGCCTCCTCCCAGTGCTGTCCAGCAGAACTTTTTCAGGTGGTACAGGGGCTAGTACATCCTGGCCCTAAGAAAGATCCTGTACCACCTTTGATGGCCCGCTGTGACGACTTTGCCTAGCACTTTAAGGAGAAAATCGCTCAGATTTGTCATGAGCTGGACTCCACAAGTGATTCAGATCCTTTAGGGGAGATGCCAGTGACTCCGTCTGGTCAGGTATTGATGAATTTCAGTTACTGTGGCCCGATGTTGTGGACAAGGTGCTTGGATAAGTACATCCTACCACCTGCTTACTCGACCCTTGCCCTTTATGGCTGCTGACCAAAGCCAAACATGGGATTGTTTCCTGGATCCTGGTGGTTATTAACGCCTCTCTGAGGGACGGCTAGGTGCCCACTCCTTTAAAGGAGGTGGTGATCAGGCCTGTCCTGAAGAAGGCGTCTCTGTATCCAGAGATGGCCGCCAGTTATAGACCAGTGGCCAACATCCCGTTTCTGGGCAAGGTGTTAGAGCGAGTGGTGGCGGGACAACTCCAAGCACTCTTGGATGAAACTGATTATCTGGACCCATTTCAATCCAGCTTCAGACCCGGGTACAGTACTGAATCTGCCTTGGTCGCCCTGTACGATGACGTGTGCAGGGAGAGAGACAGGGGGAGTGCGTCCCTGTTGGTCCTCCTGGACCTCTCAGTGGCTTTCGATACCATCGACCATGGTATCCTTCTGGATAGGCTAGTGGGACTGGGGGTCAGAGGCACTGCTTTGCAGTGGTTCCGCTCCTATCTCAATGGCCGGTTCCAGAAGGTGGTGCTGGGG